TGCTGCTCTCGGCACATCCCATCATCTATAGGTAGTAGTTTTTGTCACTCTTGCCTGCTTTTAGGCTTTGGCCTGGCCCTCGTATTTCAGTATCTCGAGTGTTTTATCTATTTGATGACCAGCCTGGAGCCCAAATTAGCCCGTGAAGGGTTTTTGGAGAAGGAACTTCTAAATTAAACCGTCGATAAGTAGTCTCAAATTGATACACCTGGAAAGACTTTCATTAACTCTTTACCATTTTTAATGGCTGGAACTTGAGTTGCGTGTTTTTTACAAGCGATATAATTACTGCAGAAATTGGGGTTGGTTTGTAGGAAGGACTCAAAATCGTACAGCTGGACTAGTAAGAGTAAATGAAGTCTTCCTGTGAAATACTTGAAAAAGCTGTGCAGAAGCCTCAGGGCTTGACTTAATTGAAACTGGATCAAGTAGCCCAACTTCTTGCTGAGGTTCCACCTCTATGTTCAGTGAGATATATAAGGCACAGCCAGATAACGGCGGCTTCCGTCTGAAGGAGATGGTAGTCTAGAAGGCAAAAGACAAACTACAGTGGATCGAGGGAAGATTTACCAGGGAAGCAGAGTCTGTTTGGAGGAGCAGAGATGAGCGTCTTGGCATCACAGAAAAAGATAACAACTGTGATACAGATGAAAGATGGTAAAATTTGGCAAAACCTGGGCAATGAGGTGGTTTTGTCTAGGGAGCAGCTTGTAACAGGCTTGAGAACAAATGTTGAGGGAAAGAAATGAAGCTGATACCGTCAGTGGCTTGAAATATGTGAGGCATAATATGCTATGAGAAGACTGCAGTACCAATAGGCAGAGGGATAAAAGGGTATTGCGGGTTCTTTTTGTTTACAGAAAATGTGTCATTTCAGGAATGAAGTGTGGAGGTCACTATCAAATCTACTTGCAACAGTCGGAAGAAATTAACTTGTCCATATTTTTCTGGTCAGTTCCTGTACAAAATTAATGTTCATGTCATCAGTTTCCTACGCAGAGGAAACAGAACATTGTCCTGTCGCAGCTGGCGATACTAGATTCGTACAGTAAGTTTGAAATTCTAGTTGTGAATGCTCCCTGCTCCTGTGCTTTTATTTGAGCAAAACTAGATATATTGAGCCTTTTTTGGGGTGGATATTTTGGTGGTGCTAAGAGACCAGTTCATCTTTTTTTTGCTCTGAATGCTGGAAAAGTTTCATCTGAGGAGGACAACTTCCCAATATGGGTGGCAAATGTTTCTTCTGTTCATCGTGTTTCTAACTCAGTAGCAATAAGTCTAAGTTATTTCTATGAACACATCTGTTACAAGGCCTGTAAGAGTAAAATGAAGAGGTTTAAGTAAGCTTTGATAGGTCAATGATGTCAGGAGTAGGCGCATCCTAGTACATTAATGCTTTTGGACTCCTTCACTTTAAAGGGATTAAATGGAAACTTAGTCTTATGTTTGTTGCTAACATTTGTGAACTCTAGTTATGTCTTAAAAAAAAAAAAAATCCCCAGTGGAATTTTATCTTCATCTGGAATTCAGTAAGTTTCCTCTTAGTGTTAGTCTTTGCTCTTTGTAAGGGCTGCGGCTAATTAAACAGCTGCAAAAGTGGCTGAAAGGCATCCTGTGCGCTGGGAGAGAATTGTGTGTTTTTCCAAGAGCCGGCCATTGGCAACCGGTACTACTAATAAGAAAGCTCCACCTTCCTCTCCAGTTACTGCTGTCCGTGCACGGAGATCCTAAGTAAGGTCGAGCAGTGTGCTGAGGCAGAAGGACGCTCGGAGCGTCTGTGGCTTCTCTTAGCGCAGTAGGTGTTTGACAACCAGCAAAACAACGTGTGAGCGCAATGCTTCACTGGGGTAGATGATAGCGGTTTGTACTTGTGTTCGTTGGGTTAAAATGCAGCTTGTTATCTAATGAAGCTGGCCAGGCTGCAAACTGACCCGCGTTAGGAGAAACATGCTTCACTGCCTTTCGTGATGATCTGATTTGATTCTGCTGGAGCTACTGCCCTGCTATCATTTTCTGTCAATTTTTGCTAGCCTGTTTGCTAAGCCAGGCATCGTTTGTGTTGATTTGCTAACAGGTTTCAATCACTGATGACAAAACTTTCCTGCAACAAAGGACATCAGACCCATATCTTCCGCACAGTGTTGCCTGTAAGTAGAAAATGGGGACCTACGCTTTCCTTTTTTAGTGTTTTCTATCTG